CACCACCACCACCACCTCCGCCACCATCCGTCGTATTCTCAATCCTGTCCGCACATTCCGGGCTAGGCCGCTCTCCGTTGTCCACTCCAATTCGGAATTGATCGTGTACGAACCATCAAAAACACACATATATACATACGGTCATTCCATTGCGAGAGTTAAGTCCCTCGGGACACACACAAAGAGACGGATGTATTGACAGACGAGCAGACATGTGGTTTCGGTAGTTATGCCCGACCACCTAGACGTTCGTGCCCAGTCCTGTTAATGGTGGCGATAATCAGGTCAGGCGATTGCTCTCGCACGTATGCCCACGCACGTATAGGCACTTTAATTACAAAGTCTCTTTTGCTTTTTTCGAACAACCGCTCCGCTCAACCGTCTCTTGTCCGCTCTCTCTCTCTCACTCTCTACGTCTTCAACTCGCAGGTCACGCAGATACAAACGAGTGGACAAAGCGGGCGGTATTTACCATGACCAAATGACCAGGAAGTCAATTAACAACATAAGTGAACGGAAAGGGGAACAAAAAGAAAACAATTGATAAAAAAAGATTGTCAAGCCATCGCACTCACTTGAACCTCCAACTGACCGGTCAACGCCGGTGATCCGTTGTCCTCAGCGACAATCACATATGCATAGTTCTGCTTGGTTTCCCAGTCCAATGGCCGAGCCAGCTTCAAATAGAGTTGTTTGGGGGCTAGGTCTACAGATGGGTTTTCGTGAAATATGGATTTTGAGCCCAGATACGTGTTCACATCGGCGGACGGAAAAGCAACGTCCGGATACGCACTATCCAACAATGGGTCCTTCTCCGATAGTTTCAAATCTGCTGGCACCGGAGAACCTTGTTCCAATTCGAATGTATCATCCTCTTGTGAAAGTAGATAGTACCTGAAAGTTTATCAGATTTGCATAATCGGTGACGTGGCCGAGGGATACGCTATTTGGTTTGAAACTTCATGTGGTGTGACAAACCTGTCACCATTGAAATAATTTATGTTTACCACACAAAAATAAACGGGAATCTCAATCGATTTTATGCGAATTCAAAGTGAACAACACCCTCGTCTGTGTTATTTCTTTGAATATCGCGCTGAATCAAAATTGTATTAGTGTCTTAAACGGTTACCAAGAACTGAACAGTATTAACGTTTGGCTCAGTTTGGAAGTGAAAAACACTTATGACAAGATCCATCAACTGTTTAACCGAGTGTTCAATATAACTGTGAGTTAGTGTCTGTCAATTATAACAACTAAACGGCTTGAACAAACATTTTTCTTCATACCAAAAAAGTGCACTCAACTACTTGACACCTGCGATTATTATGGGTAATGAGCTACCTCTGGCCTACTTTGCACACATCCCTGTGTTTTTACAGATGCAACAAAATGAAATGTGATGTAGACTGTGAGTGAAACCTAGAAACCAACGTTGTAAGGCCTATGAGTCTTTTTCTTCGGGGCAAGCTATCTTTCGTCGTTATCCGTCTAGTGTAAGGTTAGACGCCAATTTAGTTTTGCCACATATAATATTTGCTTCCTAATCATTAGAAAACACCTTGGTATCGGTCAAACACCAAATGTGGAGTTCTAATTTTACCACATGTCACAAAATACACAAGTATTTTTGTGCTCCATCAAAATATCCAGTAAATGACGCTCTATCCAGTTTGATTTTGGCACCAGTTATCCATGAAACGTTTCAATACATTACAACCAATTTTCGCGAATGCTTAATGGATGGGATTTCTCTTCCTCAACTGGATCACCTTCCCCATCAGTCAAAGCTGTCGTATTCTTTTTGGTTCTATTTTGGCCTATAGCTAGTCAAATCACGATATGAAATGTTGTTTCACTTAACCCCCAAGGATACTTTCCCTGTAACCATCGGTATGGGAGGTAGCCAGGTTTGATCTGAAACCACGGTTTATATTTAAGCTTATACCGTCGAGCTGTTTTGATGCGATCATTTCTACCAGAGTTTAACAATTTCGTCGAGTATGCTGTTGATATTCTTATTCCTATAATGGAGTTTGGTCTGCACCAATGTATTCGATGCCACTTCGGTTGTTTCATCGTCAACCGGGAAATATGTATTCATGTGGTTTGAAGTAATACACTCCGGAAACAGAGCTTGAAATTTAGTCTGTGAACTGCAAATGGGTTAGTAAATTGGATGGAAAGCCAAAAAACGGCAAGGTAAGAGCTGTAAAACGTACTCAATCACGAAAGGATGATATCGAGCATATAATCAATCAGAAACTTATTTATTAACTGAATGGCTAACTTTCTACTATCAATGTGACAAATAAGTGCCTTTCTCGTTACTTCACGCCCGGAAATGTGTACCATGCATTGATATATCCTACTTAGACTGTGTCTCAGAAGTACATTCAAAAATTGGCTGTATTTTGAAATAAACTAGATTTGATTTAAGGCAAAATGCATCCTGTAAACTGTGATTCAACAAAAACTGAACAAGGAGGCGCCTCATTCAGGACATTATAGATGAGTGCCTGTAGAACTGAATATTCTCCGATTTATGATTTCCAGTAACTCTTTTAGTCGAACTGAAGGTGATTCGTTGCCGAACTGAACCAGAGAAACTTGCATTCCTGTACACGCATCGGCTTCGATAGGAAGAGGAAATCGATAACTAAATGGTCGCTTATTGTTACAACACAGATTATCTATTTTCGCGAATTCATTTGCTACACTGAGTTGCTAATACCTTGTCAGTCCTTTCTTACGTTCTAACTCCCTCTCTGTTTGTTCAAAATTCATCGGTCGTGATCTGTATTCTGTTATATTTGGATCTCTCAGACTGTCTGTTGATCTCATTATGAACACAGGTACCTGTCTGTTCGTCCCCCAAACAACAACTCGGGAGCAGTAAAGCTTATTTCACCACACCAGTCGAAACATTAGCCTTGGAGAATGCTCTTTCCATCTAACAGTACTCATGGTAGCTGTGCTCGGCCGATCCTAAGCAACCATTCGGAGAATGAAAATTCGGCATAAAAGCTCAAGTCACATCAACAGCAAGGGCTGAGATGACTGACTGTTCACCGTAGGGGTGCGAAAGTTTATCAACCTGCTGTAGTGAATGCCTAACATAGGACAAACTGTGGTCCCATTTTTATAAGGTTTGTGTCTACACGCATCCTATGCGAAATTATGCGCGATTTCTGGCTCGAGAGCCAGCTCTTATTCATCAACATCCAAATGAAAACTTCAAAAAACTGATCACCGATAAACGTGAAACTTGATTATCTAATGTGAGTTCTAGTGCTCAACAACCAATTGAAATAGGCAGTCCCTAATTAGGATAAATGATCATTTTTATTATTTTACCAATTTTTATTTATTCGTAGAACTTAAGCAAAACCATCGAAATAAATGAGTCTCAAGAACGGTTTCCGTTTGGTTCAACATGATCTGATGTGTCCCACCAATAAGTTTGAAATGTGATTACAATCTGAGGGTTTTCCGGGTTTTATATTGAAAAAACGCTATGCATAGTGGTATCGGAAAAAGACTGCAACGGTTTTAGGGAGTAGTCATACCGTCTTCGTGTTGCATACAAAGAAGCAAGAGGTCAGAAAATCATTACCTGGTCATTGTGGCACTTGTCTTTGACCAGGTTTTGAATAATTGATAAGCAAGAAGTCATTTATGTTTCCCGTTTGTAACGCAGCGGCAGCCAGCATTTAACTGAGGTTTATTTTCACTGTTTAGTGCGGCAAAAGTTTTTAGTGTACCTGTGTCTGCTCTTGCTTTTTTTTATACACGGCAGTATCCCATAATGCCATACGCTATGTCGGTGTCATGAGAGATTTACTTTCCCACTTCTGATGCAGAGCAGTATTTCACCTAGCCGATGTTAGTCAGTGCTGTGCAGAGCTAAATGCACCGAACAACAGGCGTTGAGCAGCAATCTATTCCGAAATCGAAGGAAATAAGCCAATCAAATGACTACAGAAATATGAATCACCGCACTCCATGAACCTCCTCCGAATTGCACCCAATAAGAACCTCTATTCTAACACAAGAACATTCAGTTAAATAAACAAACAAATGTGAATTCTGGATGCCATCTGAAGTCTAAAATCTCGGAATCTTTGTAGGAGTGAAGACATTAACTTTCCAAAAACCTTTGAGTGTTTTCCAAAAGAGAAAATGTGGCCCGCGCATACGTTGATAAGCAACAAGGTCAATTTAAACATCTTTGTTTACGGAATAGCTCCTTCTGCTTTGCGTATTAACCAACTGGGTTGAAGCTTGTTATTTGGTTGTTAAAAACAAACACTGCATTAACTGTGATTGAAGTGATACTCAACAATTCAAAAAAGAGAGAATGTGGAAGAAAACGCCTTTTGGTACCCGGTTGCTCCGCATACGGGGATAGTGCATCAAAGAATTCGGACACATTGCAACCTTAGAACTTCGAACAAAACGTACACTTTTGTTGCAGCATGATGTGATTTAGTGATCACATAATTAGTGTATATTGACGAACAAAACAAGCTGCATTAGATTGAAATTACCATTCTCAATGCCATTACTTCGATTGAATACAACATAAAAACCCAAAAGCGTCTTGTGTCGAATACTTCGTCACATCTGGTCCATGAACTCCGGTCAATTTCCTGGTTAAAGTGATACATAGCTCGGGAAATCCAAAATTCATGTACTATAAAACATTTTTTCACAGAGAATGGGCCAAAGATTCATTCACGATGATTCTCTGTGTTGGATGTGAATAGGGTATATTGGAAGTTTTAGTGGAATTGCATGACAAACTTCGTTGTTTACAGAGCAAATGAAACGCAAACTGTCAAGCTTTGTCTAATTAGATTTAAACTGTTTTCCAGTAATTTGGTACAAGTTTCATTTGTTCTCTGAATGGATAAATTCATCACGTAATTAACCATCATTTTTTATGAGACGCAGGCATACCGGAGATATTTCTGTACGTTTTTTTAACTTTGGAGTTCGGCGGTAATTGCAGATAGGGTCGATACGTTTAATACGGTTTGAAAAATTGGTTTTTCGGTATTGTATATGGGCAAAGTGGAACAGATTTATCAGCTTCCCGAGGCTCAAATGGGAAGCCTGTTTATATTCTGCTCGTGAAGTATGGGGTTTGCGATCTTCAGCTGGGTTGATTCATTCGCACCACTGCGGAGACTAAGTTGAACAAAACCGAACACAGTTTTCCACCTTTGCAATTTTTGTGTCACAGAAGTTTATCTGAATAACTTAAAATCGGTCTTCTATTTAAGTTTACGATATTTACGTTGTTGAATGATAGTTTCGTGTACCTTAGGCCGTAAAAGCACCCGGCGTGTGTCTGAAAGGTGCAGCGATGAGTAATTCACTAGATTCTCCTAATTAAAAAATACAATGTCACTACGACAACGCCGGAAGGACTGATGCTTGATATAAAAGTTCATATTTGTCCTTGTTGTCTATCCCAGACATTAGACACCAGGTATGCTACTTGACGTGTTCTTAAAACTGACATTCAAGGTGCCATTGCATCCTAATTTATTCGAGAAACCTCCTTCAAGTCTAATGTCTGCTTGATGATATGATACAACCAACATTTTTCCCGGGTTGATGGAGGCTAAACGATTGCACCCAGGCTCATAATGAGGTCAATAGACGGCCTCAGAGATAAAAGTATGCCAATACACATTTTTTGGATGATGAAGTTTGAACAAAGCTGAAGAAAAAAATGGGACAGAGAAAAAAAGATTGTCAAAGCACACTTCACTCAGGCTGATGCACCTATAGTTTTGAAAGACATGTGCGAAACAAAAGATTAGCCGTCATGATAGGGGTCTTGCGATGGGCACCATAAAAGCCTGTTTGGGATTCCTCCTTCCGTATATATTTGTACACCTTCTATTAACCCAAGGTAGAAGAGTGTTTACCACTTTCGTATACCAGAAAATGACAGACGTTCTGGATTTTGGGTGTCGTATATCGCTGGTGTTTACAGTTAGGTGCAGAAATAAGCAATGACTAAGTTTACAAAGAGGAAGGATAATAGAAAATATTTCATAAAATTGTGTACGACTTGGGACTTGCGGCAATTTGGAGTGTGTAAAAGAACCTATTTAAGACATCGTTTCAAGAAAATGAACCAATGAGAGAATTTTCCGCCAAACTGAGACATATAGCTTTGAAATCGTATAGCAAAGACCAATCAGAGTAATGTGGAAGTATGCATGTTTGGGACGCAGAACATAACAATTGCGGGAACTAATTACGGTTGTTCTCGAATTGGTCTGTGTGACCAAGCTTGAAGAGATAGACGCTACGGGTCCACCGAATGACATATGCAAAAACGCATTCAGCACTGTCATTCATGAATGGTTTTATCGATAACCGTTGTGCTCCTCGATTCGCGGAGCATGCATACACTAATTTGAGCACAAATCAGAATTGCATACGTGCCACTTTTTCCTAAACTTTATCTCAACAGACGCAGAAGGTGAAGTTCGTGCGACGCTGATTGCGTGACCCAACTAATCCTCTTTTGAAGATAAAGAAGCTTGCACCTTTTTCCGTTTCACACAACCGCAGCAAGTATACTACGCTTTAGGTTTACCATTTCATGTCACTCGCTCATTGCACTCTGAACCTAAGTTGGCTTTGGTCCCATGGATGTGCATCTTGAGCAATACTTCGAAAATCGTAAAATAGTCCTATGTAGAAAACGATATTTGCGAAGAGATGTATTTTCGATATATTGCATCAGGCGGTTACATGCATAAGGTGATCATGGTACAAATGTCTGATTGGCCGATTAGAACTCAGTTATTAACGGTGGCAGAGGCGAGAAATCAGAGCAAACGGATATGACAAGGCTACAGTGATAGTCTTGGTGGAGGTGAGAAGACAAAGGTCAAATGGACAAAGTTAGAGAGATGGGCAGATTAAAATGAAAGTTGGGAGCTAAGACGAGAGAGAGGGGAATGAAGTTACGTAAGATTTAGTAGAAACTGTGGGTCATGCATAGCAAGTGATATAATCGGCAAAGGATACTGGAGACAAAAACAAAACAATTAATTCTTAAGATTGTGGTTGCTGATACTTCGCAAAGCTGCGTTTGCGAAATGGGTCAAATTGTGAGACATTGGAACAGACGGAGTTCATTGCATCTCCTGTGAACTAACTAATGTGAACCTGATTCACGTCCACTGTGCTTTTCGCCTATTGTACTGATGGAACCATAGTCTGCTTAACCTTCGAATTCATACCTCAGAGTTCCGTTTTACCATATATACCACTAAGAAAGTTAAGGAAACCGTATGCACACTAAAAATTTAAACGATGCTTATAATACAACAAAAGTGGCAAATTTTATACCCGTAATTATTCATTCGTTCCTCGTTGTCGTAAAGTTTGCGCTTTCCTTCAATCAGCGGCGACCCATAGTGTCACTACAAACATCAGTCAGTGTCTTTACACAAAACTTACGTGAAACAGGTCCACTCAACCCCCCCCCTACCATGAACAAGAGACGGAATTTCAATTTGTTTCCTTTCTCTCTCTCTCTATACTAATGCTGATCAGCGAATCCGGAAATGTTCCAGTTTGTACAACGAAATAACTTGCCAATGGGACTTTGTGTGTCTCGTTTCTCGTTTTCTACTGCATGCGTAAAGACCCCAGGTGAAATTAAAAAACACGTAAATGTACGTGTTTTTTTCCAGTTTGCTCACTGTAATCCATTATTTATATAAAAACTATCACATGTTTGGATTGATCACTGTGTGTTAAGAACATTTAGGCAATCATAGCTATTTCGCGAAATTGCTCAATTCTCTAGTTTCCGAAGAACTAATGAATCCGCCCATGTTATATTTTGCTATAACCGGCCAATACGTTGCCAGAAATTGTCACAGCATTAAGGTAATGTTTTACAAAGTCGATTACTAACGTCCTCATACTTTGAAACCGCGCGACGCACTAACAACCCAGTGAGGAGGAATAAGCCCGATACGAACAATGTTGCGAGCAAGTAAGCGGCTAGTGGACGGTACTGAGAGAATAAGGAGGCATTGTCACAGACTTGAGTGACATGCGTTGCACGGATACTGGCGTATTTAAAAGTGTTGCGCTTCAGAACATTGTTATGTTTTTCAAATCCAAATTTGACCAAAACAATTTTGGTGACATAAGAGAATAATTAAGCTTTTTGTTCGCCAACTATCAACTAGTTGAGGAAGAAACATGTAAAACAATATGCACGAAACGCTTATTTTTACTGGTTATTTTTTAATGAAAATTTCTGTGACAACATAGAAAGGAGACATCGTCAACTTTGTCGATTGACAGTTTCAAAGGACTGACTATGTTTCACTGGTGTTAGTGAATCGACAAGTAATAAACAATTTATTCACTTATGCTTTCACAATATTGCCCACTATAGAAGTGTATAGGTCATTTTTATTATTTCTGGAGCACAGGATCGATCCAAAAGTTCACGTTTATATTAGGATTTCTGTTACCCAAAGGGCATTTGAAACTATGGTCAACGAACTAGAAAACATTTTGTCACCTGAAACTTTTGGACGTAATAAATTACTCAGGCTGATTGTTTTTTT